GAGGGGACCCCCCCCCTTCCCACTCCCCTCATGGCACAGCAGCAGCAGGCAGGGGCACTCAAGGCACTCGTGCCTAGCAAGGCAGAGCTCCGGCCAGTGCTGCACATTGGGACGAGAAGTGCAGCCCCTGCCTGGCAGTCTCTATTGCCCATGCACTCCACCACACACATGCAGGAGAGCCCCATGCGCTGCACCCAGCAGTCTTCCCCGCCGCCTGGGGAATGCGCCTGGGGCTTCCCTCCCATGCTCTGCAGCCCGAGGAAAAGGTAGCTGGTTTCAGTGGGGGGGGGCTTCCCTCCCATGCTGTATGAGTGCAGGGGCTGCGCATGTGAGGTGGGGAGTGTGGGTAATAAAGACTGCAGGGCTGTGCCCCTTGCTGTGATGTGCAGTGCTGGCCACAGCTGTGCCCCACCGGGCACCAGTGCCCCTGCCTGCTCCTGCCACTGCCTGTCAGGGCTGTGCACCATGGGAGAAGTGTGGGGGGGTCACCACAACCCTTCCACTTCCTTACACCCATATGCTGCACACCTAAGCTCCGCCCTGCTGCCACTCTCCTGGGTGCAGGCTCCGTGTCGCCAGCCCCAGCTCCACACTCTGCCACCCCCGCCTGCTGCCTGGAGTGACTCAGAGGCAGGGGAAGCAGAGCAGGTCCTTGGGAACTGCAGCAGCGGCAGCAGGAGCCCCACTCAGAAACTGCCTGCTGGCAGGGCTGGGCCCTTCCACCCACGAGGGTGGGAGTGGGGTGTAATAGGGTATGTTTGGGTGTGTGTACACATGGGTGCCTTGCTCACACCCTTGTGGGAGGAAGGGCTGGGTGAGGCACAATTTGTTGGTGGGTGTCACGGACTGAATGAAAGTGCCTGGCAGGCTGGATTTGGCCTGCAGGCCATATTTTGCCCACCGCTGGTCTGGATTGCAAATGAAGGTCTCAGCCTGGTTTTGTAAAAGGTAAAGAGATTTCTAAAAAAGTAGGGAAAGTGAAACAAGCCCTTAGAGAGAAGGGTGCATGACTCAGAGAATGTTACAGATGCTGCTGTAATGAGGGGATAGAGATAGAAAAATGAGAAAGAAGTAACTACTGTATTGATAAACAAACGACAAATTGTTATGATGTGACTTACATTTGCACGTTTCTGTAGACATTTAAAAAACTGGCAAAACACTTAGAAATTATCCCTTACAGGAACATGGATAGTAACATCATTATAACTGATGGAAACTCCTGGGAGGCAGGAGTTTGCATCAGTTATAATGATGTTATAGATGTCTCCTTCCTCTTCTAAAGCAATTAAAAAATACACTTGTCCATAGCCACAAAGTGACCCTGTTTTAACATCTTGTCCTGGACTTTGTATAGTATAGCTGTGGTCCTGCCTTAAGGAATTCCATGTTTTTTTCATTGCAATAAATTGCATGTCTTTTCAAAAATTGAAACGCATTGATATCCCATTGTCTTGGCAGAATTTTAAAAGTTGATGGTGCAAAATGTAAATATTTTGAGGCCTGATACTACACTTCTGAAGCTCATGGAAATCCAGCAGTTGTCCCCCACTTGGTTTAAATGAGAACAAGATTAGGAAATGGGATTATTGTGTAACACTTAAACCAGTGCCTAAAATACCTAATTTAAGATATCTTGAAGTTTTATATTTCAAGTTTTCCCCACCTTTTTGCCTTTAATGAAATGAAGGGGAAACAGAAGAATATTATAACATTTTTCTGAAATTTCATTTTTAAAGACTATTAAAAGGAATCTCTGAGAATTTTTTAGAAAAAAGTGGACCTCTTCAGTATATGGTATCAGTTTATATGCATTTTCTTCATGTAATGCATTCCATCTCCGCTAATTGCTTTTTCAGTGCAATCTTAATTATGCGGTCTTAGCCTATGCTTCATCACGTTTTATACACTACAAATAACAAATGACTATAGCGCACACTCAAAAATTACTATAATATATAGACACACACTGCAACTTTCACTACTTATGGCACCGGAGCAATTTAGATTTTAAGGCTTTACCCTGTCAGACTGGCTTAAAAGGTCAGGGATTGGTTGCATACTATGCATAACCAGCAGAAATAAGGAAATGTTGCCACTTTTTAGCAAAGAGTGCTTCCCCCTCTCCATTCCCTTCCCCCAATAGATTTCATGTATATTATGCCAGTTAATGTCCAAAAAGTAATTGTTACACACTTGTTGCTTCTCACTTTATAAACTTATGGATCAAAGTAAACATGCTCTGAAATGCGGTCAACGAATTTTGGCTAAAAAATGAACCCCAGGACCTGCAGACAGTGATTTAACATCACAACTTTAAGGAGACTAAGTTGCAAATAACTGTCAAGTCTCCAACGGTAAAGTGCACTGCAACTACTTCTAGCTCAACAGAGAGAGGATGAGGAAATGAAAAAAATGCCAATGAAAGCCATATGACCAAGGGACTACCCAATTCTTTTTCCAGCTTAAATAAAGAGGAGAAGTATTGCCATCTTGGACTACAGAAGATATGTGGTGATGCCTGGAAAACAATGAGGATCAGCTGGAGCCTGAACATCATGGCTAACATTTTTAATACTAAAATATACTGTGTACTAAAGAAACTTTCCCCTTAAATTCAGCCTGATGTATTTTTTTTTATTTGCAATATTAAAAGAGTTGCCTACACCAAGTATTTAAGGAGTCAATCTTGTCGTGTCTCCCTCTTCCCACAACCTAAAAAAAATCATGAGACTGGCTTAAAAATCATGAGATTTTAAAAAGAGTTCTGTTTCTTTGCATTTTGGATATTAACATTCTAGGACTCACATTTTCAAGTTTTTCTTTGACACCCTAAGGTTTAACATTTTTCCATTAGAAATGAAAGCTAAGATTCTGATGTATCCACAATTCTAAGAGCTAAAGCTTTAAGAATATATGTACCAAACATTATAAAACTCAAAATGTCAAGTGTTGGCAAAATTTGTTCCAAAAATGTATAGTAGATCTTAAGCAGGAAGAACCATCTAGTAGATAAGATACTGTATATGGACTGAGGAGATGTAGGTTCAGTTCCTGGCTCAACCACAACAGGCGATTCATGATCCGTCTTGAGCCTTAGTTCCTCATCTATATGTTGGAAATAGTACTTCCCTACCTCACAGGTGTGATACAAGGCCAAAATGCATTAGTGGTTGGGAGACATTAATTTTATGATGAGGGCAAACAGCAGGTTAAATATATCAGCTTGTTAATGCTTGAAAATATTGCTGAAATATGGCCTAGCTGACAAATGAAAGAAAATTCGTTGGTCTGGTCATGGTTTCTAGTTCACATCACCAGTACACAACAGATTATTCCTTCTTCAAAAAAAATCCAGGATTAGCATGCAATATGGGGTACTACAAATCAGGATGGAGATGCAATGGTCAAGTTGTGTGAAGGAAGTCTTTACTACCTCATAGCTGCTGCACAATGTCTAGCTCTAGTTAGTCCCTCATCTCTTTGAGCACCAAATTTATGAAAGAAACTTGCTACAACACACATGCATAGACTAAGGAGAAGCTTCTTGATCTCAGTAACATTTTTGTTTGTTTTTTTAAACAATCATTGCAAATAAGATTCCCTTCTCTCACAATTGCAAAAGGTACCAGTTGCATATCTGGATGCATTTCAGTGTTAAGTTTGTAAAGATTGAACATCCTGCAAAATAAATTAGGCAGACATCATCCCTTATTGCATTGAATAGAAAACATTTCAGGTGATGGTGCTGTTGCTACTATCATTACAGAAGGAAAATTTAAATGGAAACAGGAATGCTTTCTGCATAATTCAGCGAGAAATAATGTTTCAAATGAAGGCTAGATTCATATTGCATGAAGACTCCTGAACTTTCCTAAATCCCAATGCCTTTTCTTATACATAATTTTCTCTCCCACAGTTGAAGAATATTTTTACATTACACCAGTTCATACAAACATCAGTTTCCTTCGCAATCACAGGCTTATTAAGCTTACTGTGTTCTGCTGCCAGTCCTGTGCTGTACTTGTTGTACCTATTAGCATATTAATATTCAGTGTAAAAAAGGGGGTTGGTTAAGGGTGTACCATTTTACTACCTGTAACAGAGCAGTAATTTTGCTGCTGTAATTTTACTACCTTAACAGAGCAGCAATCAAGTCACTAATGCAATTGAATTAGCCAACTGCAAAAAGGAAAAATTAGTATTGCCCATAGATAATATTACCTCCAGGGAGTTTTCTATAAATTGTAAGTGATTTTCTCTAAAACCAAGCAAGTATGCTACTGCCTCTAGATGCACATTGCTAGAAGGTAATATTTGCTATATAAAATTACCAAGTCTAGTACCCTTCCTCCCATGGTGATCTATGTCCAATGCTTCAGAGGAAGACAATAAATGAACAATATACCTTTCCAGTTGTGCAATAATGCATGCTGCTGGAGAGTTAGGATGTTCCTGCCAGACAAAACGAACGCAGAACATTAAAACACTGGACAAAGGCAACTCTGTAAGTATCTAATAGACCTTAAAGAGTTTCTCTTTGTCAATGAGTAGACTAAGACAAACACACAAACAACCCTGAACAATAATTAAAGCTATATACAGAATTTTAACTTTTCTTAAATAAAAGACATTAAAGGACAAGACGCAACAGACATCCCAAATGCTAAGGGAAGGCGAGCAGAACTGAGATACTACAAAAAGAGCTTTAATATTCAACCAACCTGTGAATTCCTTCACAAACCTCTGGTGAAATGAAAATTTTAAGACTGTACAGGAAGCTTGATTCTGTTACTTGGATACCTTTTTCTAGTGGAACAGCCTAAGACTGGTTTCAGATGCAGTGACAGCTCTGACAAAGCGAGCCTCACAGACCTCTCAAATGTTACAGAATTTAAAACACACCTTTGGACATCTGAAGCTTTTTTGTCCACAGGGTTTCAGAAAAATGAACTGACAGATACCCAGGAAGGTGTAGTGTTCATATCCTTTAAGATGATACAAAATATTCTGCATAAATCAAGCTGACTGAACAAGGAATTACTTATTTCATACTGGAGGCCACATGAATGAAGACTGACCATACAAATATTTACCTTGAAAGATTAGGCTTACCTGCTAAATGCACATATCAAGAGGTTTTATAAACTGTTATAAATGCCATTTAATGACTACAGGCACAGGGCCAGAACAGTGATCAATTCAAAACTGGCATGTCACTCCAACTCTAATCAGTTAAAGAGGCACTGTGAAAGGTGGCAGTGCTGCTATGCAGCAATTGCTACTACTGTAGAATGAAATAGTGTTATTTAATGAATACTTGCTCTACATTAATTCCCTTTAGTTAAACAAGCACATGAGTATTCAGAAAAAAAATCTATTAGTCTATAAAAGGCGTTAGTGTTAAGAAATGCAAATAAAGTACTTGCATCTTCAATTTTATAAACTTCACAAAAGGTGCAAATGATTTAAACACTTCCCAGGCTCACATAGGCAGGTCAGTACTGTTATGTCTAGTTTTCCTAGAAGTACCATCATCTCGTGGCAGTGCTTTTTGCAAGCTTGACATAGCAGCAGTTCTTTCAATGTCTATCACAGCATACAGCTCTGTGCGCCTGGTTGGAGTTTGTGGAAGTGGAGTGGTAGGAGTTTTTGGAGTCTGAGGGTTGTCAGAGTCACTACCACCTTCCAAGTCAACCTGTATGTAATTGAGCTGCCTGTGTTCTAAGCTTGGACGTCTAATATCAAAGTTAAAGACCGTTGGCGTACAGTCCCGACGTCGTGTTAATTCTATTTTATGAGCACTTGCTGGCACTGTTACATTCTCTGTATTTACATAGTTATGCATGGGATCTAGATTATTGTGGTAGCCATTCAGAGATGGAGTCTTTGGTCCTAAATTATCATCATCTTCTCTACTTAGCTTGCGAGCTTCCCAAACAGGAGGCAAAGATGGCAAGTTTTCATAGTTTAGTAATGCAGTTCTCCTTTGAGCAGAGTTGTTGATATTCTGGGTATCTGAGGTACTTGTTGATGTCAGGCGACCTCTCCTGAGCCCTGAGGCACTAGGGATTGATAACCTATTTATATTTTCATAAACCAATTTGTTACCAGAGGATGTTTCTCTGCGTTCGTCACTGTCGTACCCAGTGTCCCATTCAGTGTTGTTTGAACTGCTACCACTAACTTGGTCTCTCCCAAGTTGCTCCAGTTTTTCTCTCTCCATTAACTGTCTTTGAACAGGAGTTGGTCCCAAAACAAATTTGACTCCTTCAGGCTCCAGAAGAACCTGAGCATCTCTTTCTTCACTACAATTTGGATCTTCTCTTGACTTGCTTGTTTCAGTGTTAGAAAGCTTTGATTCCAGTGGGGCATGCACACTTGATCTGTTTTTTCTTTCATCCTGTACACCGGTAGTGTTGACATATGTGTGCACCTGTAAAGGACAAATTCAAAAGGTTAATTACCTTTATTTATTTATGTTTGCCTGTTTTAATTTTTTAACGGGTTCTATTCCTTAAAGGCTCTTGACTTCTTATTCTTGGGGGTCAGAGAATAGCAGATTTTCCAATGAGGACAAGTGTTTATAAGGAAATGAGTTATGAACATAGATGTCCTACCTGGCAGATTGTGCTGACTGCACAACTTTTGCTTAAGGATTTTTTTTTTTATTTTATGGTTTGCTGCAGGTGCCCAAAGGTGCCCAGAACAGGTTATAAGAATCCTTTGTATATCATAAATTATTACTAACTTTGTTTCTATGCTCGATTTGAGCCATTCCACACGTGTGTGGCAGGATGCATGATTTTGGAATGGGGGATCAGATCCCAATTTCACCCTACTTGCCAATAATCCTAGGCTCCCCCTGCACCAGCAAGTGGAGAGTCAGGTGCCCAACAATCAGCTGATTATCAGCTAGCTCCAGGACAGCATCTAGGTTTGATCAGCTCACAGGCAGCTGGCTCAGGAGCACAGCGGACTCCAACTAGTCTCAGTATAGTTTCTGCCCGCTGACAATCAGCTGAAGAATGGCTGGATTGAGACCACACCAGGGGCGGTTGGAGACCCTGGTGCAGTCCTAATCCTGCTACACATTTAATTTAAGATGCAACGGAAACCCATCACAAGCATCACACATTTTGCGTAATATTTTTGTGGCTGGTTTCCTTTTTTGTACTGCTGGAACATGCTGGAGAATTTGTTCCACAATAGAAACTGCACCTTCCCTCAAAGAATTTTCAGTTTAATAGAATCATAGAAGTAGGGTTGGAAGGGACCTTATAGATCTTCAAGTCTGACCCCCTGCCAGGGCAGGAGAAAAAA